ATTACCATTTTGAAGTATATTCTCTTTCACTAAAAATAAAAATAATACAATAAAGTTTTGGCTGTCACTGAAAAACCTTAAAAGACTGACAATATTCTGTGCTGTTGAGCTTGTGAAGAAACGTATGTTGTGCACTGTAAACTGGCATCGTTTTGGTAAGAAAGTTTGACAATTTAACTCAGAATTTTAAATCTGTATACTCAGTAACTCAGAAACTATACATCTAGGAATTAAGCAGATCAAAGTATATAGTCTACACATAGACATAAGCAGCAGCCTACATTGTATGTTCATGAGTAAATTAAAGTATACTTTCCTTATAATCAAATAATGTAGACTAGTAAGACAGGAAGATTGATACATACTTAAAATATGTATTGATTGTATTGTTGTTTTATGAAAACCACTTGCAGTTGTGTGTGTGTGTGGACATGCACACATGCATGGGAAGTTGCCCAGAGGCATCAGCAAAAAGTGTTGTGACTACTTCTGGGTAGACAGATGAGTTTGGGTAGATTATTACTGTTGTGTCATTACATACATTTTGTTTTATATGCATAGTACCTGGCAGATTATTATGTGGCATGTGTGCAAAAAATGTATGGATAGGCATGGATTCATACTGTTCCATATACATGGAATATACATGTTCTCCACTGCTGATTTTAATAATAAAGCATTCAGTAGCATCATAAAAATCTCATTTGGCAGAAAAGAGTAACAAGATTTCAATCAGATCTAGCACATTTACTCGAGGTCCCAGAGTTAGTTTTTAAATATAGTCCTGAATATTTAGTGCTTTAGGGATTAACATCTTGGATAAAAAGGAGCCTTTGAGAGGAACTAGTGTGTTGGGTCTTTACCTACTGTCTCGCAGCTCCGATTCAGCTCCACCTTTCCACCCTCCGTCCAATGGAGCTCTGTGATGCTGATGTTGGGACCCTGCTGCTGCATTCAGTTTAGGTTTTGCCGATAAGTTCTACTAGAGGACAGTTGGTAGGGAAATGAGATTTACTTCTTAGTCTTTGCCTGCCCGTCCTACCCACGTTGATCTAATAGTGTCAGCTGATTCCAGTCTTCAACTACTTTAAGAACTCATAGAACTATCTTCATTGCATCCCTCCGAAGTAGCAAGAGCAGTTAAGTTAGGTGGTAGACTTCCTCAGACTGAGCAACAACTCCATGGGGACTTGGAGCTCCAAGTTTCTCCAATTTATGTTACCTTTTGTTTCTCTACCCCTAGGAGTGGCTGCATCCCGTAGTCAGAATCTCTGGGTTACCTTCTAAAGCCTCTACCACATCTCCTCGGTTGAAATACCTAGTGCAGGCTTCTCCAATTGGACACATGCTGCTATCTGACATGCTATCTGGAGGTGCTATCTGATGTGGAGAGGTGGTTTGTGACAGGGTCAAGACAGAGACACAAATGCTGCAGGCCAGCCTGCTCAGGTCAGCACTCTGGAGGGTGTGTGTGAATGTTCCTGGGTATCAGTAGAGGAAGATGTTCCTGTCAGTAAGGGGCTGGGGCATCTCCGTCCAACAGAACTTTCTGCAATAATGAAAATATTCTAAAACATTGTCCGATATGATAGCCAGCAGTCACATTGCTATGGGCATTTGAAGTGTGGCTAGTATGAAAAACTAATTTTATTTGGTTTAAACTCAAATAGCTACATGTGGGCAGTGGCCATCGCATGGGACAGTGGAGGTCTAAGGTGACTGGAGGGCTGGAGGACCTGCAAGGTTTCACCTCTATGAAGTTTCCAGATATTTTAAAAGGGATTGGGGTTTACAAAAACAAGAGATGCTGTCCTCCTCTAAAGAAGCTCAGTCCAGCAATGGAAGATGGATTGTAGGAACAAGGTCAAATAGAAGTCACTAGAGGCCAAATCCAACTGTCCAAGTTTAAAGATGAGACCTCATCAACAGTAGAAATTAAAGGGATGCATGAGCGAGTATTGATACATTTGACCTGTTGCCCTGGCTGCATGGCTCAGCTGGTTGGAGTCATGTCCCACACATTGAAAGGTATGGGACCAGGCTGGTTTGATTCCCGGTCAAGGCACATACCTAGGTTGCAGCTCTAATCCCTGGATGGGACATATACGGGAAGCAAGCGATTGATATTTCTCTCTCTTTCTAAAAACCAATGGAAACATGTCCTCAGGCAAAGATTAAAAGAAAAAAATACTGACTTGTTGACACTTTGTAATCAATAGAAAATAAAAGAATTGAGAATTTCCCACTTTTGGATTATTATATAACCAAGGGAATAGAATCAGGCTTGGGAAAAACTGATGAACTCAGGTTTGGACTGCAAGTTTGAAGTGCCTGCGAAACATGCCAGTCAGTATGGTGAACAAACAACTGGAAATACATATGGACCCAGATTTCACAGGGAAGGTTTGCTTAGAAACACAGGTTTGCCCATCAGCAGGCAGGCAGGGCAGGAAGACAAGGTAGCAGATGTGCCGGCCTGGGAAAGGCGAAGGTGACAGGGGCCTTGACAGCCATGATATTCAGGGGACAGAAAGAAAAGGACAAGAAATGCAGGTAGGAATTAGAGCTGCTCAGAAAAGCCTGTCTCGGGAAGGCAGGGGCTTTAAAAATCAGGAGCAAGAGCAACCAAGTGACAAGTATAAAAAGGACTGACAATTACTGAGCATTATGTGGCAGGGATTACCTAAGTGTTTTATATCTAGAAACCCATTTAATCTTGAAGAATCCTGTAAGGCGGGCTATTCTGTAATTCTATTTTCTAGATGGAGAGACAGGCACAGAAAGGGCGAGCTCGCTCGGGGTCCGCACGCAGCTCGCTGAACCGGATCTGGACCAAGGCACTCTGGGTCTAGAGCCTGCACTCCTAAACCACTCGGGAGGGGGAAGTCCAGTCAATTAAAGACAGAAAAGCACATACCAAAATAAGGATGCTCTATGGCTGAGGGCCAATCACTAATGCCCCCGCCTTTTCATGTGACACAGACTAATGTGAAAAGCACATTTCTCCCCCTGAGTGCTTTAGCTAGGTTCAGTTAGTCTCTCAGGGTAGGGCCACAGATCGTGTTGGAGAAAGACCAAATGTCCTTAAAGTCTTTTCAGAACCCACATAATAGGACTGCTCACATGCTTTCGATGCATAACTAGGGTTAAGAATTCTAGCTTTGAATGACAAAAAAAAGAATACTAGCCTAGCTCTAGGTTACTGGCAAAGTGAGAGGATTACTCACTAAAAGGCAAATATTGATGTTGTACAGGCCTTAGGCTAGTACAAGGCAAAAAAAAAAAAAAAGGTGAACTTTTTGAATGAATTTTGTAGAAAAGCAACTGTCCCAAAAATAAAGGATGTAATTTAAATTTTAAGTTCATTTTATATTACACTTTATATTCTCCTCATAACATTGGATTTTCAATAATGTCCATCCTCCTTACCACATCCTGGTTCACTAATAATTGCCTGTACATTTACAGGTACAAAGAAGAAAAGTTGACGGGGAGGGTCCCAGCCCATGGCCTCACCGTTCTTGGTGAAGCGAAGACATCATCCTGTTTTTACTGGAGCTGGCACTGAACAGGAGGCTGAGAGTGGCAGTGAAGGCTCGCGACAGTCACTGAGAATTGAAATTCTGGCGTGTGTGCTTGTGTATATTCAAACTGTGTACATAGTTCTGTCAATCATGCCTTACTCAATTTTAAGTAGTGTTGTATTATTCATTAATATTTGATTATAAGTCATCTCTATCAACGCTAATTAGAAAAAGTACTAGAGGCTAGAAACTACAGGAGGGCAAAGAGAAAGCATGTGTAAAATAGAGGCTGCCTCGTTTTTGTAAAAGCAGTAGCGCTCTCCTCCCAACCCCCCCCCCCCCAAAGAACCCACTACTGCTTATGTCTGTTCACTGTATATACAGGGGAGCATTACCCAAAGGTGGAGCAGTACGTGGCCACGATGGTTAACAGTAGTACCTCCAGGCTGGGGGTGAGGTGGGGAATGGAAAAGGGATGTGGAGTAGGTAAGAAAAACACTAGTGAAATAGAAACAGATCCATGATATAATGTCAAGTAAAACTAATGAAATAAACACTTGAACAAGGATAAGTCAACATGGACTACTGCATTCATTTGGCATAGGTTTGATCAATAAAAACACGCTGAACTGATTAGATGAACAGTTTGTGAGCAGTGTCGAACTGACATGCTATAACTCTAATGTAGTTTTCAGCATAAAGTAAAAGTTAAAGAAAACAATAAAGCAGATATAAGAACAGAACTATAGTCCTGAGGCTAAAGGAGAGAGGCTAACAATCATATTTTTGTTTTTGAAAGGGAGATACATGAACTGGACCTTCACATACTGTTGTGGAAAAAATTCTGTCTCCTATACACCTACCAAATTTGCAGGTTGAAGCCGTCACCCGCGGTGTGACTGTCTTTGGAGAGACAACCTTTAAAGAGGTAAACGGGGTTAAATGGAAGTCATCAGGGTGGGCTCTAATCCAGTGCTACTGGTACCACTGTAAGAGGAGGAAGACACACCAGGGCTGCTTGTGCGTGTAGAGAAGAGGCTGGGGAGGGCAAAGCGACAGGGCGGTCAGTTCGCAGGCCACGGGGAGGCCTCTGGAGAGAACGGGACCTGTCAGCACCTTCATCTTGGACTTCCGGCCTCCAGAACTGTGAGAAAATAAACTTCTGTTTTTTAATCCACTCCATAATATTCTGTTAGGGCTGCCCTAGCAAACTAATACATGTACTTTGGATAAAGTTATTGTGGGCACAAATCATATGTAATCAGCTTGATTATATATATATGTGTGTGTTTTTAATGGTTACACAAGGCTGTCCCTTCTCACATCTCCCGAGCATCAGCGTGACTGTACTTTTGAAAGGAACCGGAGGAGCAAGGGGCAGAAATCAACAATTCTGAATCATAAAACAAAGACACTGACCCGGAGATTCAGGTAAGGGAGAGAAACCACCTTAGTCTCAAATCTAAATTAAGGAAAATACTTTTTAATCGCTCCTTTGAAATTACAAGTGAGAAAAATAAGAAAACCTTCCAACAAACAACGGCTCAGAAACAAACGGAAATTAAATAGCATGAGTGTAAGATGCGGAGTGTTCCCATAGTTCTACCTAGTGCTGTGGTTCTCGAACTCCAGCAGCCATCCGAGTCACCCGAAGGACCTGGTAAAAAACAGATCACTGGAGGGGTTTCTGCATCAGCAGCCTGGTGTGGGACTCGAGAATTTCCAGTTCTGACATGTTCCCAGATGTCGCTGAAGCTGCTGGTCCAGACTGCATTCTGAGAACCACTGATTCAGGGTACGGTCATTACAGTACTTTAATGAATCTGCAACTCTCAGTGGGTCTCAAAGGCTCGCTCATGGCTACAGTCTCCCTAAGCCCTGTGTTTAAAAGTTCCTACAAGTCTTAAGTTCTATTTGAATTGCACCTTCTATTATTTCAAAATATAATTTTTAGGGGGTGGGAAGGGAAGACTATAGTAATCAAAGTGAGTCACTTAAAGTAAAATGTGCCACAGACAGGAGTTTTACCAGGTTCCAAGTTTTAAATTACTGCCTGTACATTATATTTAGCCCAGTAAATAATATAAGGACATTTTATTGACCTAAACCTTAAAACTAGATTAAAGCTGATATAAAAACAAATGGTTTCTCCAGGTCTTGAAAAAGGTTACTTCTGTAACTTCCGGTTCATTACTAGAAATGAATAAACGGGCTTTTAAAAACAAGGTAAATATAATAATAAAACTTACCTTTAGCACAAGAGCCACGTATGAGTCTCTGGATGTGGCCTGTGAAAGGCATGGTTCCCACGTGGGGTGTGAGTGCTCTGTGTCCCAGTCGTCCGCCACACCCACAACACAAACCACCTTACGTTATGGCTGAACGTCACCAAATACCAAAGACGATTTACAAAAGCTTTGATGACACACAGAAAGTTCCTTAAGTTTTGACGGAACTTAAAAACCAATGCAGAAGAAGAATTCTGCTCAAGTAGAGAATATAAAATCTAAACCAGAACACACTTTGATAGCTATGATATGCAAAATTTATATTTACAACAGAAATAGCATCAAATCCTTGTCATTAATACCTTAGCAGTACATTGATTGATACCTTTACAAGGAGCATCATGTAACAATTTAATAGTTTCTTTTTCCTCCTTTATCCAGGATCTTTTGTGAGAGGCACTTATAAAGAGCACTTTTGGCGACGCTATAACAAACATACACGTAAAATAACGGTATATTTTACTATGCTAACAAAGTATTGTTTATAAAGAAATTTTTATAAATTCAAAAATAGGTGGTTGGTAATATGATTACCTTTAAAGCACTGATTTTCATTCACAATATTATTTCATCAATCTTAAACAGAAGTTCCATCTATAAAATGTTCTACAGCTTTTTCCTTTTTGAAAAGGAGGTAAATAATAGCAGGTACGATACTCATAAATTCTAGGTAAACAATATCAACCTCATTTCACAGCACTGATTAGCAGAGAACATTTTCGATTCAAGTGGCATACAGTTTACAAAAATAGAATGGTTATATGATGCAGAACACTGCCCTCCACTGTGGAGGACATGTGTGTGCATGTGTGGGTGTCACGTGTATATATACATATACATATTTCTTACAAGTTTCACTATTAAATAGCCCTTATTCAAGTGTTGTTTTCTTCTGGTACCTCTTGAAATAATCACCTTGCTATGCTATTTGTAAATACATAAGAAAATACAAGTTTAATCTAAGAAAAGGTTAAAAGTTTCAGTGTGGTTGGCTTAGCCACTCACATTAGTGAAACCCTGATTTGAATTCAAAACAGGTTTAGGTGCCATGTTAAGTTTAACAACAGTCAAAAATATATATATTTAAGTGTCAAATATTTAGTAAATATCCAATGTGCTAACATTAGAGCAAAATCAAAAGTTTGTATTAATCTATTCATCACCCAATCATAGCCCCCAAAATTCATTTATATATTATAGCTAAAATAATACACTGATATACAATATACCTGCTAACAAACAAATAGGTAGCCATAAATAAAACTTTATTCTTTAATTCCATTTACAAGCTACCAAATATGATGTATCATATACAGTGCTGAACACTTAAATGGCTGTAGTCATGGAAGGATCCAGACTAAAAGAAAGCTGTAGATAAAGATAAAAGCAAAATAATACTGTAACATAAAAGTGGCAAAAACATGGTTTCGCCACAATGAAATCACTCAGATTTGTAATTACACATGAGTGCTGGTTAAAACACAGTCCGAGCGCCATGCGATTCTCAGGTTTATTGTTTGCAGTCCAGCTAAAAATCATATAGTTATTTTGTATTTTGCAGTCATTAAAAAAAAAATGTTAAAAATGATAGCAGCAACAAGCAATTCCTGTGACAGGAAGGCAAGGGTTAAAACTAAAAAAACGTTTATACAGTGTGGGAAGAGTGTGCTGTTCATCTTCCATCAGCAGGAGTTCGACTGAGGGACAACATGGTTTGGGCAAACCGCTCACACAGTTCGTGCGTGGAATAGGGAGGTATCTTCGGTGGCTCCTGGAAACCTTTAATCTCTGTTGAACAATCGAGCAGTTTGGGCAGGAAATCTGTCAGCTTCTCTTGGAGGTTTGCTGCAAAATACAAACAGAGGTAACTAAGGATGGAGAGCCAGTTAGAGAAGATTATCACTTCAACCAGATTTATAAAACTTGAAGTGGCCAGTTGATAATTCATTTTAAAACAGATAAAACAATTACCATTTTGAAGGAAGAGATAAAAGATAAATGGCAATGGTAGAACTCATAGCTTAATTTGTAAATAAGAAAAAAAGGAGTAATATGAATATTACTGAATATGAAAAATGACACAAATAAATGTAACACTTAGTTCTAACTCCTTTCAATTCCAACCAACTCAGAGGCCCACTACCACTGTTTAAACTTACATTCCATTTCTTGTCCAAGATAAGAACACCATCGGTTTCTCATATCTTCCACAGCAAGTATATCTTTCTCTTCCATTTCATCCATCAGTAACATGGGCAAAAATGGGACAATAAACTCATTCATAATAATCAGACCATTGTTTACTTCGCAGTCCTCTCCAGATTCAAACATTTCTGCTGCTTGCTCATTTAATTTCTTAATACGAGACAAAAGAAAAAAACAACCAGGTTTGTTTCCTTCTTTAATGAAATAAAAATACCTGTGATTGTAAATACTGAAGACAGCATAATAAATATGTCCACAAACAATATTAGAACAACTGCAATCAAGAAAAATAATCTCAGCCTGTTTTAGCTAGCAGGAAAATTTCTTGGAATAAGCTATGTGTATAATAACAGAAATAAGAGAAAAAAGTGGAGAAAATATTGTCATGTTTTTAAACTACATGTTCAGCTTATATTGACTGTCACTACATGGACCAATTTTTATTTATTTACCAGGGATGAACTTCCCCCAATACTAAAATTTAATAAGCAATGAAAGTAATTTTATTATTTTTTTAAGATTTAAAAAAATTTTACTTATCTTTAGAGGGGAAGGGAAGGAAGGAGAGAGGGAGAGAAACATCAATGTAAGGTTGCCTCTCGTGTGTCCCCTGCTGGGAACTGGCTTGCAACCCAGGCATGTGCCCTGACTGGGAATTGAACCGTGATCCTATGGTTCACAGGCCTGTGCTAAATCCACTGAGCTACACCAGCCAGGGCTGAATGTAATTTTAAAAATAAAGAAATTCAAACTCCATATTAATTAAAAAAAACCTCTTCATCATCTCCGTCACTGTCAACTGAATAATAAGGGCTATATTCCGTGGTACAAATATATAAAGGTAAACAATTAATTCATTTATCCCTTCAAAAAATTCTGAGTTCATGCCATGTGCCAGAAACTGTTTAAATGCAGGTGTACTCAAGTGGTCAATACAGAAAACTTTCATGAGCTAACCATTTGGTAGAGGGGCCAGTGGGCTTTTTCTGTAAAGGACAGGAAAGGAAATATTTTAGGCTTTGAGGGCCATACTGTTTCTTCAGCAATTACTCAACCCTGCCATTGTTCCACAAAGGCAGCCATATATAATATGTAAATGAGCACTTTTTATTGTTTATGCTATTGCAATCGTCCTTGCTTTGTTTTCTCTCCCTCTGCCCATCTCCATCCAGCCCCAGGCCCTCCCCTCCTTCACTCATTCCTCATATTGGTGTCTGTGTCTAGGGGTGATACGATCACGCATGAATGTTCTTTGACTAGTCCCTTCACCATCTTTCATCCAGCACCCCCACCCCTTCTAGCAGCTGTCAGTCTGTTCCACGTATCCATGCTTCTGTTCCTATTTTGTTCTTATCGGTATTTTTCATTTATTAGATTCCACATATACGTGAGATCATGTGGTATCTGTCTTTCACTGACTGGCTTATTTCACTTAGTGTGATATTCTCCAGATCCTTCAGAGCATGGTTGTATTTTAATAAAAGTTTATCTACAAAAACAAATGACAGGCTGGAGTGCAAGACAAGTATGCTGACCCCTTAATCTAGAACAGAGAAATTCTTTTTAAAAAAATTTTATTTAGTTATTTTTCAAGTACAGTTTTTTGTCTATTTCTCCCATCCCAGCCCCCCCCCCCCCGCCCTGTGCTCCCCACCTCCCTCCCTCCCACTTCCTCCCCCCCAGTCCTCATCCCTGTGTCTTTCATACTTGTTCCTCAAAATCCCTCCCCTTTTCCCCCTTAAATTCCCTTCCCTCTCCCTTCTGGTCACTGCCCACTTGTTCCCTATTTCAGTGTCTTTATTTTTATTCTGCTTGCTTGTTTGTTTTGTTGTTTAGCTTCCTGTTAAAGGTGAGATCATATGGTATTTGTCTTTCAACGCCTGGCCTATTTCACTCAGCATAATGCTTTCCAGTTCCATCCATGTTGTTGCAAAGGGTAGGAGCTCCTTCTTTCTCTCTGCAGCATAGAATTCCATTGTGTAAATGTACCACAATTTTTTGATCCATTCATTACTGATGGGCACCTAGGTTGCTTCCAGCTCTTGGCTATTGTAAATTGTGCTGCTATGAACATTGTGCTGCATAGGTTCTTTGAAACTGATGTTTTTGGATTCTTAGGATACAATTCTAGCTGTGGAATTGCTGGGTCAAAAGGCAGGTCGATTTTTATTTTTCTGAGGAAATTCCATACTGTTTTCCGTAATGGTTACACCAGCCTGCAATCCCACCAACAGTGAACTAAGGTCCCCTTTTCCCCACAACCTCTCCAACCTTTGTTGTTTGTTGCTTTGTTTATGATAGCCATCCTGACTGGTGTAAAGTGGTATCTCATTGTGGTTTTAATTTGCATCTCAGAACAGAGAAATTCTTAAGATAAAAAATACAGATGTAAAAGACAGATAAGGAATATAGAAAGCTATCATATTTAAGGATTTAGGTTTGAAATCTTATGTTTATAGCATAATAAATATGATTTTTAAATTATCATAGTTTTAAGTTGAATTTTACATATAAAGTTATGTTATTTTTATGATTATACCATTCTTATGCAACTTATCTTTGGTTAGGAGAAAGGCTTAAGTTAAAAATGTAACTAAGCCACCAACTAATTATCTAATCTTGAGCAAACAAGTAATCTTTTAACTTCAGTTCCCCTATTTGAAAATTGATACCTTTATCTTCCTTGTATAGTGGTTAAGAGGATTAAACAATGTAAGTCTTGAAGTAACTACAATACCATAATTTTTATAATATGCATTCTTTTTTTATTGTTGTTCAGTTACAGTTGTCCCACCTTTCTCCTCATTGTTCTATGCATTCTAAGACATGTCATTATTATTTTAAAATTTAACATTAAGTTTGGCATGATCAGGTTTGTTTTTAGAAAATCCCGGCGGTATTATATACTAGAGGACAGACTGGGAAGTAGTAATTGAAGTCAAGTGGGTAAGAACCTCAACTGTGGCAAAAGTGCGACAGGCATGAAGAGGAACAGGAAACACCGGAACAAATGAAAGGCAGCTTTGACAACTGCATTTTCCTTTCCACTCATCCAATATAGTGCATTTCTTGTGCCAAAAACAGGCTACAAAGATTTTTAACAGTTTATAATAACAGCATTTTTCAGCACAAAAATAGTAAAAAATATTTGAGGAAAAACATAATGACTAAGTTAAAAAATGCAGGGTGTCCCTACACACTACCCTGACCACAGTGGCCTTCTGACTTAGGCACACCCAGTCCACTACTGGCCGTACAGCTCAGAAGGACTCTCGTTATTTTTCTGGGATCGTAGTAATTCCTCATGCTCTATGTAGCCTCTCCTCTCCTGTGAAAGGGGAGTGGCAGAGTGATGAAGAAATCTAGATATAAACACATAATCATTCTGATCTCATTTTAAGAACATTTATGGTTTATCATATGTAATACTTAGTTTCCATAAAGAAGATGAGATAAAGAACTTAGTGTATTCTCTCATTTTAAGGGAGTAAACCTAGATTATGGACATCATTGTGATTCTTACCCCATCAGAGTTTATAGAGTCAATCACTCATCTATCAGTCTGGGTACTTTGCTCAATGTAAGACAAAAAGATGAAGTAAACAAATAAGCTAGTCAGAGAAAGACAGATGCCACAATTTTACTCATATGTGGAATCTAGCGACCAAACTGAACCAACAAGCAAAACAGAGACAGACTCACAGATGGAGAACAGGTGATACCCAGTGGTGTTTGGGTTAAGGGTGGAGGGATTGAATGAAAAAGGAAAAAGGGCTCATGGAATGGACAACAGTGTGGTGATTGCTGGGGGGGGGGGGGGAAGGGGTTTAAGAGGACTAAATGGTAATGGGAAAAATAAAATAAATATTAAACTAAAAAAACAAATACTACATGCATTCAACTTACTAGTAAACATTCTCTTCTATAATGTGATATCAACTCTTCATCATGTCCTCTGTATGGGCCTTTGGACAAGAGTTCTTTGTTATTCTGATGAGCACAAATAAGGAACAGCAAGGAATCTATATAACTTGAAAATTATAAGAAACATATAGCATTAGTATTTCATATAAAAAGCCAATTATAATTATAAAACATTTCAAATATTTACATTTTGATTATCTAGAACATTATAATAAAAGCTATCATCTGATGCATTGTAAGCGTGAGAACCATGTTTTAAAAATAGACACATTTGAACCCAGGAGATACTTATGCCTTAAAAGTGAAATACAAAAATCAAAACAAACGAAGAAAACAAAACTGAGAGAAAAGGTCATAATTGATGAATTCAGGTAGTTCCTTTTGTCTGCTTTGGCATTTATTTTCCTGATGTCTTTCACTTAGATTCAAAATTAAGAATGACATGAAAGGCAATAAACTACTTGTTTAGCATAATGTCACTTTTTTGTGTGAAAGGCAGAGTGTTACTTTGTTTTCTGATCACATCATTTGGTTCACTCGGTGACTATTTGGTCACTTTTTCTTCTATGCCACAGGCACAGTTCTAGTCACTGAGAAAAATTTAAAGACAGAAGAATCTCTGAGGGAGATGGGTGAAGTGAAAAAGGGAAAGAATGCTTTTAAGTCTGGGAAACCTAGCAGGATGCAAGGAAACAAAACAAAAGGTTGAAAGGGTAGACCTTTGTATAATATTTAATACAAATAGTATTAATTTGTTATAATGATCAAGTCTAGATGTTATGAAGTTCAAACTAGTATTGATAAAGGGAGGAGAATAAAAATGTTTGAGTGTTATATTTGCTTTTAAGCTAATTACCTTTCTCCTGACATGCCACAGGAAAAAATACGTACAGATATAGATTTCTATAACTGAAATATAAAAAATATTTTAAGGTATCTCCACTGTGTTGGTTTGTCCAATCATAACTTTCAGAAAAATGGAACATCCTAAGAAATGAAAAATTACAAAACTCTAGGGTAAACTCTCTGTGTTGTTGTTTATTATTTAATTTCATGTGTTCAGATATAATTCAACTCTATACTCCAATGGCTAAATGTAGAATCATGCATCTGTATAATTTGTAAAAATCAAATTATACATATGAAACTGTCCTGAAAATATGTTATTTTATACATGGCTTCTTCTAGAATTTGTTTTTGAGAAAACCCAAAACTAAGAAACTTTATCTTGAAATAATATAGATATAATTTCAGCTAAAATTTTTTTGTTTTATTTATGAAAAAAATGACGGTAATATTAAATGTTATTTTATGCCACTAAGTCGAAGTAGTTTGTTGGCCATCTACTTTTTCTTTTATAGCCATTAAGTTCTCTGTTACAAAGGTCTCCTCTGAATGACACTCAGATCTGGCCTCCTGGACCTGAGTCACTTCTCTGAGAAGAGCCTTGAAACCATGACTTGGTTCCAATTTTGTACCGAGGTGCCAAAATGTTCCATATTTTATCAACTTTTAAAGTTTTAAAATATATTTTCAAATGAATCAGAGTAAGAGTCAGCAGTTCACTTACCACACTCTTATTTAAGAGAAAATAAGACTGTGTAGCCTGGCAGACCCTTTTTATCTTCACTTATACTACTATAAAATTATGGTTACCAAAAACATAATTTTACTTCACCACTCACAGAACTGACAATGACCTATCAATAAATATTCCATTCTTGGCTTTCAAGTATTATATTTTCATTAAAAACAAATCTGACAGAACCTCCTGGCAATATTTTACATGTCGCTAGCTATGGCAACTGCTATAGTTACAGTGACAAAAATTAACCTTTTTTTTTACATTACTGTATAAATATTACTTGTTACCATTACTAACTTTCCAGTCAATCCTGCTGATTTAATTAACATTTGCTAGACTGGAATACTGACTACAGAACAAATATTTAAGATAAGGAAATTATAAAAATGTCAACATATTTCCAAGTTGTATCTTTTTAAAGACCTTTACTGGATGTTAACTAAAGAAAGGTAATATAAGACACTATGCAGACAGCTATAAAGTGACAGCTTCCCCTTTTTAATTGCGAATGATATAAATGAATAATACTTTTTGTGCTTAATACAGGGGTCTTTATTTTAATTTTTGTCCTGTAGTTAGTTGTGTGACTGTGACAAAGTTACTGCACTAGGGAGCTTTTTTTTTTTTTTAAATAGCATTTTGGTCTTAGACAGTCTATTAAATTGTAACATCATATTAATACTTTTCTCACACCAGTACAAATCTGAGAAATCATAATGTGAATTTAATATGTCTATTAAAGAAATAAAACCTTGATCAGAATAACTTACAAAACAGAGCTATTATCAAAATAGTTTTCTATTTCAATGGCCAATGTGAAGTGAATTATGTTATAAATTATACAATAATTAGGACTTTAATAATTTGCACCCAAGTATTAATAGCACTTTTTACTTCTGTAATAACTTAAACTGTAGGGCTAACAGCGCTGTGCACTGCCAGACGCACAGAGAAGCCCTGCTCAACAGGGCTTCCTCCGTGAGGAAGGAAGGGCTCTGTCTCTTGGCCAATATGGTCGTTCCTGCACGGAGCAGCCGAACACTCACCATGTGGCTAGTCTGACTGAGAAACTAAATTTTTAGCTTTAAAAATTTTAATTAAATTTTCACACATGGCTGGTGGCTACCATGTTGGAGATCACAGCTCTAGAAGTAAAGGTCTAAGTTATCATTTAAGAAAAAACAAGTTCATTACCTAGTGGGGAAAAGGGAAAGAGAGAGGAGGGGGAAGAGGACGCAGGGAAGAGAAGGAAGAAAGAGTTCAATACATCTTTTACTTTGTTGCAGTATGGCATTATTCAAAATACAGCACTTCTTGAAACAAATCACTAGTCAAGTTCATGTTAAAGGATATAAATAATATATAGAGAAATAAGTAAATGTAAACTAGTGAGTAATTGTAATGGTAAATAAATTAATATCCATCTTTTCTTCTTGGTAACAATTAAAATAATAAATAACATTATAGTTTAAGTAGATATACCTTTAAACCATTTGCAATTTAAATGAAAAAATATATAAAATATTTGTAGTCACAACACTCAGAAGAGACCAGTTTTCTACACCTATATATATACATTTTTTATAGTCATGGAAAGTTCAGGCAAAGAGACAGACTGGAAAAGCTATCTCTGAACTGAGGTGCGGATTAGACCCAGAGGAATGTGAAAAGGCAGGAGCCGTAGGGAGATGGCAGGGAATACAGAAAACTCCATGTGCCGGGCTCCCAGCACCTCCGATGTCCAGCAAACTTCTAGGCTTCTATCCAGTCCTACCTCATTCTAAATTGCAGCTGTGGTATTTCAGAGCTGATGCAAAGATATTGATACCAACCTCACAGATTTAATTTAAAATAAAAAATACATTCGCGCCTTTTTAAAGATAAATATTTAAAAAAAAAAAAAAATGAATATGTGGGATATATGAAACTCTCTGAAAATCCAAAACTTTAAAAATAAAACATGAAAGATATAAATGTGAATAATATCTTTTCTATAGATAAGGCCATATCTGAATAGAATTAAGTACAAAAATTAAGCCCTTCTCTTCGGCTGTGTCCACTTTTCCTTACCTTTCTTTCTGAAAATTTTCCAGCCCATTTATGAGATACATGGTTGTTTCCCTGAATTTCCTATAATCCTGATGCCAATCCTGAAGGAGAAAGAAAATATTTAAAGGGTTACACAGGAAGTCATTAAAACTTCAACGAAATCTCATCATAAAGCAATACACTGTTCTGATATATTAATAGAAGCAAAGAGTTCAAAATTAAGATAAACTCTAGCTAACTCAGGAGAGGAGTGTGGGGGAATGGGTGAAGAGAAGAGGGGGTAAGGACCAACAGGCAGTTACAGAGCAGCCGTAGGGATGCAAAGTACCAAGTAGAAAATGGAGGAGCCAAACGCGGGTTATACACATGACCCACGGACATGAACAATGTTAGGGGGATTGCCTGAGGGAGTGGGGTGGGGGGCGCTGGGTGTAGGCAGGTAAAGGGGGGGAAATCAGGACAATGGTAATAGCATTATCAATAAAATATAATTTTTAAAAACCATGAGAAAAAATACAATAAAGGTTAAATTTAAAAAGATTTTGGCCCTGGCTGGTGTGGCTCAGTGGATTGAGTGCCAGCCTGCGATCCAAAGGGTCGCTGGTTGGATTCCCAGTGAGGGCATATGTCTTGGTTGCAGGCCAGGTCCCCAGTGGTGGGGGCACATGAGAGGCAACCACATATTGATGTTTCTCTCCCTCTTTCTCCCTCCCTTCCCCTCTTTCTAAATATAAAAATCTTTAAAAAAACCAAAAAAGACTTTAATTTCTGACAAACCAGTTTACTTACTTGTAAAATAATAAACAAAAAGCATTAGACTTTGATGAAAAAATTAAACAACAAAGATCGCATCAGAAGACAACAGGCAGGATAATCAATTTGGTTATCTCTCACTCTATAATTCCTCAGTATAAAAAGCATATTATGAAAATACAGTGCAGGGTAAAAGTAGGCTTATAGTTGTGAGCACACAAACCACAGAGTTTATTCTTGTATTATTATGTATTAATTATTGTGTTATTTTCCATATGAATAACTCTAAACCTACTTTTGCCTCACTTTGTATTATAGTTATATATCTACGTCACAGTGAATGTAGGAAGTAAAGCTACTCTAATGTGCTTGAAGACTATTATTTGAAGAATGTAACTAAAAATGTTTTATCATAATGAATTTATTTAACCGTTAATTTTGCCAAATTTGTTTTGAATTTTCTTTTATTGTTTTAATAGAATTTATTGGGTTGATATTGTTTTACAAAACCACACTTTCAAGTGTACAACTTGACAAAATGTCAGCCATCTGCACACTGCATCGTGTACCCATCACTCAAAGCGAAGTCTCTTTCCATCCCCATTTACCCCCCATTTGCCCACTTCCACCTCCTCTCACCCACTTTCCCTCTGGCTGTCATCACTGTTGTCTGTGTCTAGGTGTTATATGCATTTTTTTTGCTTAATCCCTTCACTTTCTTTTATCAGCCCCCCAACCCCTTCTCCCCTCTCATAGAGTCAGTCTGTTCTATGTATCCATTTCTATTTTGCTCATTAGATTCCACACATAAGTGAGATCACATAGTATTTGTTTTTTCTCTTAGTGGATTATTTCACTTAGCATAATAATCTCCAGGTCCACCCATGCTGTTACAAAGGGTAAGATTTCCTTTTTAATGGACACATAGTATTCCACCATGTAAATGTACCACAGCTTCTTTATCCACTCATCTACTGATGGACACGGGCTGTTTCCAGATCTTGGCATTGTTATTAACACTGCGATGAACACAGGAGTACATATATTCTTTGAAATTAGTGTTTTGGGTTTCTTTGGATATATTCCCAGAAGTGGGACTGGTGGGTCAAAAGGAAGTTCAATTTTTAATTTTTTTGATTAAACTCCAATACTGATTTCCAAGGTGGCTATATCAGTTTGCATTCCCAGCAACAGTGCGAAAGGGTTCTCTTTTCTCCATATCTTCATCAGCACTTGTTGATTTATTGATGGCTATATCTGACAGGAATGAGGTAACATCTCATTGTGGTTTTAATTTGCATTACTCTGATGATTAGTGATGTTGAATATTTTTTCATGTCAGTGGGCCCTTTGTATGTCTTCCTTGGAGAAATGTCTATTCAGGTCCGTTGTCCTTTTTTTTAAATTGCGTTGTCTTTTTGGTGTTGAGTTGTGTAAATTCTTTCTACATTTTGGAAATTAACTCCTTATCAGATCTGTAATTGCAAAATATGTTCTCCCATTCAGTGAGTTCCCTTTTCATTTTGTTGATGGTTTACTTTTCTGTGCAAGAGCTTCTTAGTTTGATGTAGTTCCATTTGTTTATTTTTCCTTTGTTTCCTTTGCTCACAGAGCTATATCAGCAAAAATAGTGCTATGAGAAATGTCTGAAATTTTATTGTCTATGTTTTCTTCTAGGATTTTTATGGTTTCATAATGCAATTTCTATTAAAATGCCAATGGCATATCTCACAGATCTAGAACAAATATTTCAAAAATTTATATGGAATCACAGAAGACCCCCAAAAGCCTCAGAAATCTTGAGAAAGAAAAAGAAAGAGGAAAAACACTACCTGATATCAAACTATACTACCTGGCTGTAATAATTAACACAGCGTATACTGGCACATGAACAGGCATATAGACCAATGGAATAGAATAGGGATCCCAGAAATAAACCCACATCTTTATGGTCAATTAATATTTGACCGAGGAGGCAAGAATATGCAATGGGGTAAAGACTGTCTTTTCAATAAACTGTGTTGGTAAAACTGGACAGATATGGGAATGAAAATGAAACTAGACCAACTTACACCATACACAAGAATAAGTTCAAAATGGATTAAAGACAAATCTGTTTTACACGTGGCAGGTGAACAGTCTATTCATCTGAGTCACAGTGAAAAGGACAGAGGCATTCCACATTCCCCTGCTCTACCTCCGAAAAGCCAATCATAAGGCAAATAACAGCACTAAATAATTCAGACTGACATCCTGTAACTCTAGAAAACAAAAAAGAATCATGATAATTTTTCTTAACTTATTTAATAAAAATTGATTCAAGGATAACCATAATTGAAATACAATGTAGGATTAACCTAAAAGAAATACTGATAATAAAAGTATTAAAGCTCTTATATACATATTATTATAAGCAAATCAAAGTAAGAAACATATAGACCAGTTAGGTGACCAATTATATTCCCCCCAAATGTAAACCACTTTAATTTTAAGTTTTGGGGGCATTATTTTTATATTACTAGTAGACCTTAATAACAAATAAAAGCGAAATTTGTTTTGCAAATACAAAAGATAAAGCTGGAATTCCTGGGAAAGTATTCAAGTTGCCACTTTATTTAGAATTGCCTCAGAAGTTATGAGTTAGTAAACTTTTTCTGTAAAAGGCTAGACAGTAAAAGCTTTAGGATTTACCAATTACTCAACTCTGACTGCAGTGTGAAAACACACATAATCAAATGGCTGTGTGCCAATAAAACTTTATTTATAAAAATAGACGGTAATCTGGATTTGGTTTTCAGGTCAAGGTTTGCTGATCCCTAACTTAGAGTCAGACAAAGATTAGTGAGATGTAACAAAATCCAAAAAAGTATGTTATGTGAATACCTAGAAGACTTAATGGCTCTGCAGTTAGAAAAAAATGTAACAAGTTTTTAGAATAAAAATATGCTGAATCCAATCCGATGAAGCCACTCTGGGGAGGAACTGCAGAATCAAATCACAATTAAAAATTAAGTCCCAGGTAACCTGAATTCTGGGAACGGGGAAGAGTTAGCAACCAATTTGCTTGCCACCTGTGTCACGTATCATGTTTCCATTGACTGGGGCTATGTTCTATTATGCTTTATTGCTCTAATTTTCCTATTCTTAAGCTAATATTCTTATAAACAGAATAGTTATTTTATCTTTATTTCTAGTAGAATAAGCCTTCTGATTTTGTTCTTCTTCAAGAATGTCAGGACTAGACTGAGATCATTGCATTTCCGTAAAATCTGAGATTCAGTCTATCGAGCTCCCTGAAATGACTTGCTAAAAATTTGATAGAAACTACAGTGAGTCAATAAACCATTTAGGGGCCCTGGTTGGTGTAGCTCAGTGGATTGAGCGTGGGCCTGTGAATCAAAGGATTGCAGTTTGATTCCCAGTCAGGGCACATGCCTGGGTTGCAGGCCAGTTCCCAGCAGGGGATGCACAAGAAGCAGCCATACATTGATATTTCATCTCCCTCTCTCCTTCCCTTCCCCTCTAAAGATAAATTAATAAATAAACAAGATTTTTTTTAAAATTTAAAAAAATTAACCATTTAGGGGAATTCTGTTATTTTTATAATACCAAAATTTCCAAACATGATACATATTAGTCATTAATATAGGTCTTCTTTAATGTCTCCTAAAGTCATGCACATCTTTTGTTAAATTTATTTCCAGGTATTCTATAGTTTTGGCTGATACTGTAAATGATGTTATTTTTTAAAATTTATTTTCTGATTATTTGTTAATTGGTATAAAAGAATAAAATTGATATCTGACATAGGTTTGAATGTTGCAAAGCTCTCTTATTAGTTTCAATAAATTTATCTGTAGATTGTTTGTATTATATTGGTATAAAATTGAAAATAATAACTTTGTTTCTTCTTTTCCAATCTTTTACTTTTTGCTTAATTTTGTTGCCTTACTGCCCTGTTTGAACCTTCAGTACCAACCTGAGTAGAAGTGGTGATAGCAGGTATCCTTGTTTTCTCCTGATCACAACAGGAGAGCTCAGTGTCCACAATTCTGTATACTTGTTGTACACTCTTTCTGAGACGCTCTTTAGTATATTAAAGTATTTACCTTGTATTCCAGGTTAGCTAAGGGTTTTCATGAAAAATGCCTGTTTTCTACATCTTTTTGTCATATTATCTGTTATAATATGGTTAATTACCATAATTGTTTATGGAAATCTAAAATAATTAAGTGGAATCAAATAATCAAAGCATGCATGAAAGCAACTGAAAATACCCTGGATTTATAAACTGAAAAACACACTATATAGTTAAATATATGTATCAATAATGTATTATAAACATTACATTTAACAATATACATATATGAGAAACATTATATATAGTATAAATTTAATGTCTAAAAATATTCAGTATTTGAACTGGTAAATTTAAAAAGATACTAATTTTAAAGTCAAAGTTAAGAGAGAATTTTGGTTTTTTTGAGGTTTTTTGCGGGTTTGGGCTTTTTCTTCCAATGGATTTGTGCACAAAACTACTGCAAGCCCAATACCAGTACTCGTGTGAGTTCCCTTACACAACAGCAGCATCTAATAAGGATAAATATAGGTGTGGTTCAAGGATTAAAATAAATTTCTAACATCCCATAACTATGTGATGAAACAAATAAAAAAAAGTACAGCATGACTTCAGTAAAGGAGAGCATTTAAGAATGCCAGCTCTAAACCAAACTAACAAGCAAAACAGAGACAAGACTCATAGACAGAGAGCAGGCCGACAGCCCCTGGGTCGGGGGGAAGGCTAGGGAGGTGAAAGGATTGAGCAAAAAGAAAAAAAAGGAGAGAGAACTCCCGGGGGTGGCGGGGAAAAGAACCCAGGTTCTGATAACCAAGTTTAACCTGCTAGCTGAGAAGAACTCTGGTGGGTTATTTCACCACCGTGTGCCTTATTTTCTCCGGGGCTTCGCTGGGCTAAAGTGAAAGGAAGATCAGGCAACCACAGAATTTCTCCATCTACAGTTCAGCCTCTCAAAAGCACATTACCTCATATTCCTCCAAATTTACTTCTTCAGGTTTAATCATTTCAAGTTTGGCTTGAGCCACTTTCATTATGTTGTGACACCTTTAAATAAGAAAAATATATTCCTAAATTAAAAGCGAAATCCATAAAAACTGAAAAATGTATGTTATGCAAGACAAATGAAAATGACATCCGCTGTCACTGAGGAAACAACTACCAAATAACTTAAGTGAAAACATGTGTAGGGACTAATGCTGGATAGTTACAAAGTATGTAAAAGACAATCCCAGTAATTCTAAGTTAAATTTATTTACTATGTTACATTTATACATACTGTTTAAATTATATTCTATAAATGAAGATCGCATAGTTAAAAATCTGTTAAAAAATAATTTATACTTATTCAGCAAGCTCAAGGTGACATTAAGTTTTATTTTCCCCCAAATAGCATTATTTGCAAATAGTAAAAAAAGAATCCAATATATGCCTATCATTTTAGGTAAGAATGGAAACATTCCAATAAATTTTAGCATCAAAATCACGACTAAAGAAATCCCCACAAAATATATTTAGTTATCACATGCATCTTAGTCTGTTTTTCAAGCACAACAGAAATCAGGTTATCAAAACAAACATTATTTGCAGTCCCCTAGATAAATAATTGCAAAAGAATGAAAAAATGTGATTATTCCACAAATCTCTTCCCCAAATTCAATAGCATATATTCACTGGAATACAGTGCATAAACAAATAGATAATAAGGGTCATAATCAGTTATACTTCTGAGCTATTTGTGGTCATATGTGACAAAATAAACGATGCCCCCTATTAAAACTGAAACAGCCAGCACTCGCTCGGGGCACTCACTGCCTGCCAGTACCGTTCAAAACCGTTCCCTTGCACTACCTCACTTAATCCACGGTGAGGCGGGATTAATCCTAGATGTTCATTTCTCCTCACATTCTCCTCTGCTAAACATATTTTTCATTCAGTATTTGTGAAACTGTTATAAAAGGATAATCACTTATTTCAGAATTAAAATGCGATTACAGTGAACTCCAAGGCAGCATGTTTTCCTATTCTAAAATAACTTACAACATTTTGATCTTTAACAAAGACCTACCTTTTTAAAACAGTACTCATTCTAAATTAAACAGTAAAATTTTAACATTAGTGAATAGTTTTATAGGAGCTTCTAACAGAAAACTTTTTTTTTTTGGCAAACCATAATTAATTTAACCAATTATCTGACTCAATGTGTTCATAGTATAAAGGTTGAGAAATTCTTTTCTCTAAAATATTAAGTCTTAAAAGGCAGTGATTATAGTATACTCTTCTGTATATCATTATATTGCCTAGTTCAGTACCCTGGTTCACAATTAAAATATACTAAAATGATCTGAATAATTTTAAGATCAAGCTTTGAAAAGTCATGGCTATAAACTATACATAAGTTACAAAACAACTGTTCAAACTGAGTAAAGTCTAATTTTGTGCTTTATTTATTGAAATGTTTGTGTATGTGTAAAATAAACATTCCAATATTGCACTGGGAGCTATAAAAGGCAAGAACCATTTGAGTATATGAATTAGATATTTCCTATTTTTAAATTACCTTTCATCGAAGCTCAAATTTCTGTCTGCAAATTGTTCTAGCAATGTCTTCTCAATGATTTTCTTCGGAGCCTGGTTCTGGATGAAGTAGACCACGACGTGATGCAGGCGGTGGTCTGTCTCTGGTGGGGTGTCTTCTTGGGCCAGTCTAACCAATCTCGAATACTCCAGCTTAATTGCCTAGGAAAAGCACGAACTGTCAGTTTTTGTAAACTACAATTAAATCCTTCAATTAAACCCTTCATATAATCCTAATGATTATTGCACTCAAATACGCTTTTTGTTTCCTTTCAAAGCATTACAAACAAAGCAGTACATCTAAGAATATTGTTCTATGTTCCACAGACTAAAAGAATTTTCTAAGGAAGTGACCACAGAAGCCCTTCGTTACCCAGTCATTATATGCTTTCTGTTTCCACACAGGGAACTGGTGAAATAAACAGGACATCTAAGCTTACTGTGTGAATAATTCTGTAAAACTTAAAAAAAAAAAATAAAAGCTTAGTCAAAGGCCATCCAGAAGTATCCTAAGATTGAGATACTAAGTACCTATCTTACACTTTCCAGTATCAGTTTGATGTAGCCTCTAATATCCCAAATTCTAGGGCTCCAATACAGCTCCATTAGAATACCCGAAGTAAATGGATGGTTCTTGAATGCCTGGCAGTATTACTATAAGCAACTTTTTGCTGAATAGTCCACAATTAAGGGATGAAAGAGCAAGCCATGACATCATAGTTAGCACAGAATGAATCCTTGTTGCTTCAAAAAATATGCATTTTATCAGTACAATTATTTATTGATGAATATTATCACTATTACTACCTTGATGCTGGCACATATTTTTCCTTTAAGGATGGAAACACCTCATAATTTATTTAAAAAAATATTTAATTTATTTATTTTTAGAGAGGGGGGAAGGAAAGGAGAAAGGGAGACAAACATGAAAGCCCAAAAGACGCACTGAATGCCAGTCCTCTTGCACCTGGCTGGCAACCCAGGCATGTGCCCTGACCAGGAATCAAACCAGTGATGTTTTGGTTCACAGGCTGGTGCTCAATCCACTGAGCCACACCAGTCAGGGCTAATTAATAACTCATTATAATGGAAAATAAATACTAATATGTTTCTACACATGAGCAAATGATTTGAAAATATTTGCTCCTATAGAAATATATAGTTATATACATCAAAACCTGTATCATTAAAGATAATAATTTTTAAATTACTCATTTATATTAGACATATCTAAATTTTGGCTCTACTAACCATAAATATTTGGAGGCTGCATGCAAAACATATTACAGATGATCTACTGCAAGGGTTTTTCTTTCTCAAATGTACGCCTGCCTTTCTGAAGCAATTCTTGGGCATGCAGATATTACCACCTATGTGACTATTTTATATAAGTGAGAAATTATAACTAACAAATACTAAATGAAATGTTCTAGTTATATATTGTTATACTTCATTAAGGAGAAGGGTGATAAATCTTTTCTATGTAGTTTAGGATTATAAATTAAGATAATTATATATATATATATATTTTAAAGGATCTACATGTCATTCTAAAGACTTAGAGCTAGGGCAAAAAATAGCCATGACAATGAACTCTGCCTTGACATGTGAGATTATCAAGGTCCACTTCTTGGCATACCTGTGGTACATATAAGCTTTGCCTAGAACTCTTTAAAAAATGTCCCCACTTTGCCAATTTGAAAAAAATAAGGCACATGCTCATTTAATAACCAAATATACTAAAATTGAGAAAAAATATAAAACAAAAAAAATCAACTCTTCTTCCTTATTACAGCACTTAGAAAATGACTCCTATGGGCTACTAAAGGGTTTTTAAAATATTTAAATATTTTAGATACTGTGACTTTGGTCAAAATTTGTATGCCAAAATAAACTAAATTCGTATTGAGTCTGTAAAAATAATACTATGGTTTAGAGATAGAAATAATAAACCTAAATGGTTATCCATTTTCCTGCCTACTTTCAAAATAAAGACTGTGATTATTTCACAAATAGTATAGAGACTTCTATTAGAGGGCTGGGGCATACATTTACCTTCTTTTACTTAAGATTCTGTGTATTTCTTGACTTTGCTCTACCTAGGTTTCTAATTTTCACAAGTAAATGCCAAATATACAATCTATAGGTGTTTAAAGCAGTAACGTTATGTCTTAATTTCTAGGAGTAATTCCCAGCTGCCCCCACATAAACCACTTTTTACCAGCATACATTCCTCAATTTTTAAATTTATGATTGAAAATATACTTCAATCATATCTATGCCTTCAAACTATCAACAGATTTACCACACTGACATATTTAGCAGAGCTCTACACAATCTAACATGAATACAGTTAATAGTGTTGAGTTATTAAATTTGCCTCATTTTAATTCCTCAGAATCCTTTATACTTAGAATTATGTTTGTTCTTTCTATACTTCATTATCACAGACATGGCAACGAGACCACCACACATGTATAAAATGAAATGTGATGCTGGTCATTAAGTGACAGAACTGCTTTACATTTAATTTTTAAATTTCTTCTCACCAGTCCAATAACAGAGTCCTACTCATCAGGCCCAATGTTACCTACTCAGTCTCATTTCCTGTAACTCTTCAACAAAGATCTCCTCCATCCACCTGGGTCAGGCTCGTCGCCCAGATCCACAGGTGCCTTTGTTTCCTACGTTCTCCACATGTACGACGTCTTTTCTTGTTCATCCCCCATCTATCTGCAGGTGACTCCTTCGGTAAGACTAGTTTAAGTCTCTCTTTTCAAATTTTCAATTCTAAAAATTTAAATAATTTCTACCTAAGAATTTTTTTTTACTTTTCTAAGTCAATTATAAAATCATTCTAAATTTATAACTTACTAGAGAATTTATTTTGACATAAATATATATAATGATGTGTTAGAAGATGCCAAATACAAACACACTATATACTCTGGAGGTGGTAAGAGCTAAGGGAAAATTGGCTAGACTAAGATTCCGAAAGCTAGGGTATCATTTACTAATTGTGACAAAAAACAGTCACATAATTTTCCAAGTCTTAAGGCTTTATCTCTAAAATAATGTTAGTTAAATATAGAGAAGAAGTGTGTCTATAAATAACTATGTACATTTAAAATGCTTATGGACTATTTTTTCAAAGACTGACAGATGAAGAAAACCCACTTCACATTCTAGGAATAAGCATCATGTAGGCTGTGTTTTTTGACCACAATGCAACACAAATAGAATTAAAACCAAAGATAACTCCCAAATAAAGCAAGAATATAAAAATAGTGTTTTAAATAATTCTTGAGCACAAAGTATCAAAATTATATTAATATTGGGAATATGAGATATCAAAATATGTAAGACACGGATAGATTGGTAATTAAAAAAAAGTTCTAGGACTTCCAGCCAAGATGGAGGTGTAGGTAGATACACTTTGCCTCCTTGCACAACCAAAAGAATAACAACAAATTTAAAAACAAAAAATAACCAGAACTGCCAGAAAATTGAACAGTATGGAAGTTCGACAACCAAGGAGTTAAAGAAGAAATATTCATGCAGACTGGTCGGAGGGGTGGAGACAGGCAGCAGGGGTGGAGAGGACTAACTAGTGGTAAAGTGGGGGCTGATGGACCCAGAGACCCCACATTTGTGTGCGGATAAAATGGGAGGAACAACTGGGGAGCGAGACAGACCGCCCAACCCAGGGTTCCAGCACAGGGAAATAAAGCCTCAAAACGTCTGACTGAAAAAAAACTGTGTGGGTTGTGGTGGCAGGAGAAACTCCCAGCCACACAGGAGAATCCATTGAAGAGACTCACAGGGTCCTGGAATGTACACAAACCCACTCGCCAGGAATCAGCACCAGAAGGGCCCAATTTGCTTGTGGGTAGTGGGGGAAGTTACTGAAAGCTGGCAGAGAGAGGAGCAAGTGCCATTGTTCCCTCTCAGACTCCTTCCCCACATGCAGTGTCACAACCCAGCTACCTGGGTTGCCCTGCTCTGGTGAACACCCAAGGCTCTGCCCCCTTACTACTTAACAGGTGCACCAAGACAAAAAAAAATATGGCCCAAATGAAAGAACAGATCAAAGCTCCAGAAAAAAATACAACTAAGCGATGAAGAAATAGCCAACCTATCAGATGCAGAGTTCAAAACTCTGGTAATCAGGATACTCACAGAATTGGCTGAACATTGTTGCAAAATAGAGGAAAAAGTGAAGGCTATGAAAAGTGAAATAAAGAAAAGTATACAGAGAAACAACAGTGACAGGAAGGAAACTGGGACGCAAATCGACCGTTTGCATCAGACAGGAGAAATAAACACTCAACCAGAACAGAATGAAGAAACAAAAATTCAGAACAACGAGGAAAGGCTTAGGAACCTCCAGGACATCTTTAAACATTCTAATATCCAAATTGTAGGGGTACCAGAAGGGGAAGGGGAACAGAAACAAGTGGAAAACTTATTTGAACAAATATTAAATAAGAACTTCCCCAATCTGGCTAAGAAATTACACTTTCAGGAAGTCCAGGAAGCTCAGAGAGTCCCAAAGAAGGGGGACCCAAGGAGGAACACACCAAGGCACATCATAATTACGTTACCGAAGATTAAAATGGAGAGAATTCTAGAAGCGGCAAGAGAAAAGGAGAGAGTTATCTACAAAGGAGTGCCCAGAAGACTATCCACTGATTTCTCAAAAGAGACCTTGCAGGCAAGAAGGAGCTGGAAAGAAGTATTCCAAGTCATGAAAGGCAAGGACCTGCATCCAAGATTATTCTATCCAGCAAAGCTATCATTTAGAATGGAAGGCTAGATAGAGTGCTTCCCAGACAAGGTAAAACTAAAGGAATTCATCATTGCCAAGCTCTTGTTATATGAAATGTTAAAGGGACTTATCTAAAAAAAGGAAGATGATAAAAATATGAACAGTAAAATGACAACCACCTCACAATTATCAAAAACTAAACCTAACTCCCCCCCCCCCCAAACAACAGATTCACAGTAACAGAGATCACATGGAAGGTTATCAGCAGGGAAGGGGAGGGGGAAGAATGGAAGAAAAGGTACAGGGAATAAAAAGCATAAATGCTACATACAAAATAGACAGGGGGAGGCTAAGAACAGTATGGAAAATGGAGAAGTCAAAGAACTTACATGTA